TGCGCCCCGTCGGCCCTGCCACGCTGTGCCCGCCGAGCACAGATACGACGTCCCTGTGATGACAAAAGGCACAGGAGAAGGGACCCCAGATCCTCCTCTCCGGGGTCCGTCGGTGAGCGGAGGGCGGGCGTGCGCAACCTCGCGGGAAGGCGAGGCAAATCCTTCCCGTGTGAGGAGGCGTCGGCGCTTCCTCGGGCCTCCTCAGCGTCACCAGCAACGACGACGAGTGAAGGCCGATGAGCCGTGCGCCACAGCTGCCGCGTCCGCAAGCCGGGCTGGGCTTTCCACGGGCGTGCGGGCCCCCGGCACGGTCTGGACGTCAGCGACGTGCTCGGCTCCCACTGGCTGCGGTTCCCGCGATCCCCCAATCTTCCCGCCTGGCGACGATCCCTGGATCCACGCACCCACCCACCTGCCGGCCGGCTTCTGTTTACAGATCTTAGAAGAACACGGCCTCTCTCCTCACGTAGAAACAGCGCATACCTTTTTTATAGCCTCCATGTCGTCACATAACACTCGCCTGTGATTTTTAAAGGCAAGTAAAAACACGAATAAACAAGCATATCTCCTTTAGAACATTTATAAAGAATGCAGAATATTACCTGGCTGACTGTTAAAGTCAAAAGCCGGGGGGAAAAATCAGGCCATAATGAAGGTGGTGTCTGAGTAAAGTTATAACTAAAACCCGTATTATTTTACGCCTCGTCTGCTCACCAGAACAACCTGTTTCTTATGCCGACGGCATGTAACGGGATGTTGCTTGTTATAGGAAAGGCTAATATTTTCACAGTAAAAAGAGGTTCGCTGTGCTTTTTTAACGTCGCAATTTCTAGGGACTGTAAACCTTTAAGTGAAATTTTATATTGGTTGGAAGTCTTAACGGCAGAAAATCCTTGCAGCTACAATTAAAATGCTGGCTCCCTTTGGCCACAAAGCAAGTATTTTAATACCCAGCACGTTAAATGTCTTCATCTGCCAGACTTAAAATTGATTTACCAATTTAAGTCACACATCTGGTGTCAGTTAAGGACCTTATTTAAATTTAAATGTATAACATCCCAGGCCACATAATAAAATAGAGTAAGGACTGTGCAAACGGCAGAATTTCTTCGTAAATGTTTTGTAAATGTCATCAGCACGTTTAAATGCTTACTCTCTGGCATGACGGCGGAGACCTGGCAGACAAGAAAGATCGACGGCAAGAGGCTGGCTGGATTTCTAAACTCAACGCTTCTTGCTGTTTGACAAAACTTTCCAAACATAATTAACCTGTTCATTCAGAAACATCCTCCTGCGTGACGAAATCTTGTACCTTTGACAATGTTGCAGCTGAACACATTCATCATCGAATTATTCAGCAGATAAATGCCAGCTGACAACAGAAAAACAGCCCACACACGAGCCAGTCATTCGTCAGATTCTGCATCATATTTGCTGTCAGGTCTAACGGGATCGTCTTCGATTTCAGGGAGAAACGAATGGATGCATTTTAAAAAGTGTTAGAATGTCCTATGAAAATACTGGAAAAAATTCCGGGATAAAGTCCTATCAAGTTGGTACGTTCATCTTTCTCCCAAAGCAGAAAATATTTCCACATGTTGAACGTGCTTGAGTCTGATTAATGAAACTGGGTCATAGGGTACATCTTCTTGTATTTTAATCATTTATTACACTTTTCGTATTCGTAGTCTACGGAGAGGAAAGGCAGAGAGTAAACCATCACCCCACCGGTTCTGACCCACACCCCGGGCCTGGTGCACAGGCTGCTGCCAGAGACCGACCTGGGTTTCTCCAGGTGCAAAGCGCAGAGGTCCACCGTCCAGCCCTGGGCGGGCCCACCGAGCATGGCTGTTGGCGTCTCCTGTTTACACGGATTGAAGGGACCAGAGACGCCAATGACCCACGTTACCAGTCTGGACACTCAGAATTTTATTATGAACGAAGGCCGAAGTCTGCAGGTTACAGGAAAGGGTTTGCCGAGAGTTTCGAGGCCGATGCTCACGTGCGCCCAGCGCCTCCGGCACGTCTCGTAGCCGTGAGGACGGCACATGCGACTTACACGTAACTCATCCTCTGAGCGTGAAAATGTTCGTCTCGAGTCATTTAGTAACGTAAACAGCCACGCCACCCGAGTGACCCCACCCTCCCCCAAATGCTCACAGTTACGTTAAGGGGATGGGACTCCAGACTTTTGTTGTTTTCCTCAGACCTTCCTGTGATGTGTGAAGGTTTTCAGTGAACAGGCGTTATTTACATAATCTGAAGAATATATGCTTTCCCACAAAAAATCCTAATAAGTCAAACATGCCGTTTCTTCAATACTAAGTAAAAGGATCTCACTGAGAACGTATTTTATTCTTCTATACATAACAGTAAAGCAAAGACAGGTGCTGAAGCATCTTTTTGTTTAAACTGTGATTTCTAAAGACCTTTGGGACACACTCGATTTCACTCCCCAAAGCGGATGTTCCCAAGGACAGCACGCGAGTCCAGTCCGCACACTGAGCTGCACCGTCAAGCAATAAAAAACGCCGCACGTTCTTCACCCAGAACCTGATGTGAAGTGAACGGAACCGCCTGGTCCAGATCCCATGCCTAAGCCTCGGGTCTGCTGAGCACAGCGCCCGGCCGCGGTCGTGCACGTTCCCCCTGGTGGCACAAACACACCGAAGCACACAGATCCACAACCGCCCTCCACCTGTCCCTCACGTGAGTTTGCGAGGCTCCCGCCGTACCTGTAGCGAGGTGGAGGGCTGCCTCTGGCTTCGCAGCTGAGGGTGACCTTCTGACCGCCCAAGCCCATGGGGACGATGCTGCTGCTGGGCTCTGTGACGAACACGGGGCCTTGCGAGGGCAGCTCACCTACGGGAAACATCCGGAAACATCCGTGATGAGTATGTGATGAGAACGAAGGCCCGCGACGCGTGCCGGCTCCTTCAACGGAGGGGCTTCCGGCCACAGCGCCCCCACCGCACGGAGGGGCTTCTGGCCACACGGAGGGGCTTCCGGCCACACGGAGGGGCTTCCGGCCACACAGAGGGGCTTCCAGCCACAGCGCCCCCCCCGCCCCACCGCCAGCGTCAGCGAGTCGCACGCAGCGGCACCAGGACGATGACACAGAAGCGTTTCCCCAGAAGCCAGACAACCCGAGGCGTCGGTCCTGAGAACGCGGAGCCACCGCAGCCAGGCTCCCGCCGTGAGCCCCTGCGCCGAACCACGGCATCCAGCCCGTGACACCAGGGTCACCTTCGCTGCGACTCGGCCGCGCACGAGAACCTGACGCGGAGAAAGTCCGTGCGTCGTCTGCACTGAACACTCCGACCATGTGCAGGGTTTCCATTTTATAAACAGCAAACTGAAGAGAAGGACACGGTGAACACGCGTCCGTGGAGGTGGGTAAGGAACCTGAACGTGGAGAATGCACACATGCACGCACACGCACGCACACGCACACACACGCGCACACGCGCGCTCATACACCCGTGCACACAGGCACCCCCCCGTGTACATTCAGATGCACACATGTGCAACCTGTGCACACACTGCCCATGTAGCCCTGCACACACTCACACACATGCACATTCAGATGCACACACGCACGTGCACACACAGCCCTGCACACACATTCACACACATGTATTCAGATGCGCACACATGCAACATGTGCACACACCGCACATGTAGCTCTGCACACGCTCACCCATGTGCACAGATGCACACACATGCAACATGTGTGCGCTCTACACATGCAGCCCTGCGCTCACACACGCTCACACACCGTCACACACAGAGGGTTCTGGGAGTTACATGAACGATCCAGTAATTTCTCATGTTGCTTCTCATTTGCCCCAGTTAAATGCGTCTTTATCATGACCTGCTGAGGACACGGCGTGTCC